TGAGCAAACTATGGACTGTGGCACCAGTCTGTGCTGTCCCAGCAGGGACACAAGGAGCCTCCACCACTGCTGCGATCTCTCGCTGGATGGGGTGCTGCTCTCCTCTCTCCCCCCCCCTTGCAGCATCTTCTGCTTCCCAAGCTGGTCTGTTGGGATGTGTGGGGGAGTGGAAGAGGTAAATCAAAAGCAGAGAAAATATGTCTAGAGCTGAGCTAGTGGCTTCTTTCTTTGCCCCGTCTCTCAGGGATGTACGAACTGTCATGCCAGCACAACCCCCTTGTCATCAACGTGACCCATGGCCAGGAGGACTCATCCCACCGGGCTGCTTCGGTGCTGCTCAACTTCTCCTCCCCACTCGTGGGCATCGCAGCCGTGGCCTTGCGGACCTCAGCTCAGTCTGGCTCCTCTGATACCACTACCTGCCTCCTGCAACACCAGGAGGAGCGTGACCATCAGCGCTACAGGTATGGTCTCCTCAGGGCACTTCCCAACGGGCACCCAGAGTACCTCTCTCTCCTGGGGCTTTGTGCTTCAGTTCTCGAGTTTTCATCTACTCACTGTTTCGTGACTATTCTCAGGTGGCTTTTAAGATGTTGTTGGAAAAATCTGGTGTAATGAGTCTTAATTTGCTTATCTTGATTTTGTGGGTGGCCGGTGCATCTGCACGAGACTACGTGAAAGGACTGTTCCCTGGTGGGAAAACCAAGCTCCCTCTGCTGAGGAGTTATCACCAAGTAGTACTGCTGAAGCTGAAATGTTGGTTTCTTCCGCATATGCTTTACAAGCTCCGTCTCCATCCATTCCAGTCTTCCCCACGCTGCAGGAGGTGGGGACGAAGCTCTCCTCCTCCTCGGCTCTGTGCTGGCTCCCCATCTGTCCCAGGCTCCTCACCAAGTCTCACCCTGCCCCTGTTGTAATGTGGCAATAACAATAATAGTAGCGGCAGCGCTTTAATTTATTGATGTCCGGCGCTCACAGACACGTGCCTGTCTTTGTAAAGCAGCAAGTGAGAGGCGGCGTTTGTAGAACGGGCGCCGCTCTCTGAGCGGGTCGTGCTGGCAAAAGGATGGGAAAGGACTGTTGTCCAAAATAGACTAAATAAACAAGGCAGAAAGAGCATGCTGAGCAGAGGCACGGACCCAAGGAGGAATGAAAGGATGGTGCTCAGCTTTGTCCTACAGGGGTAGCGGGGCTGATGACGGCCAGACCTGCCAAGTCTGGCTTTGCTTTCGGATCCCAGGCTCCCTGAAGTTACAAATGTGCCGATCCAGGGCTCTGGTTCAGCCAGTTACTCAAACCGCACTACTGGGAATCCTGATTTTGGGTCCAAGCTTTGCTGGAGCTGTGGGGGCGTTAAGAATGAAGGGCTTTGGCTAGGGTCATTGCATCACTGCTACTGTCATTTTTCTTCTGTTGATGGCCCTGGGTGGACAAACATCCCTGAGAATGAATGAGTGTGAGTGTGTTTGTCTAAAAGCTTGTGGTATCAAGGTACAATTGATTTATGCAGGGTTCTGGAAGCCACGGATATCCTGCAGCTGCTTTTCACTTTCTCTTTTTTTTTAAGTGCATGTGTGATTTCTACAGAAACATAAGTCTTAGTGATTCAGCATATAAATATTATTCTCAGCCTTACATTAAAGGATCAGCGTCCACCTGAAATGCAGTCCGTTTCCTCCTGGTAGCCGTTACAGCTATGTACACACATGCTTTTAAGACCACAGCCAGCTGATGTGGTTTTCCAATTACGTTTTCTCATCGTTTAAAATAATTTTGAGCTCTCATTGCTTGAGAGCTTCCCCCTCCTCCTCAGAAGTGACTGCAAGGAGGAACAGACTGACCGGACACAGCTGAGTGTCACTTATGGATGGGGAGAAGCTCATATAGGGACAAATAAAGAGGAAAACAGATTTTTTATCTTAGAAGTCTCTTTCTAGCTGAAGCACAAGCCAGTTGCCATATCGCCAAAGTGCACAGAGCTGTGTGCTCTCCCCTTTGTGTGGGCACAGCAGGACCTAGAAGGATCCTCACCTCTTCTCCTCCTCTTGCTGCTATCCTGCGGGCTCCTTGTGGCCCTGGCTTAGCTGCGGTATGCTGAATTGCAAGTTACACACGTGCCCTTAGCAAACACTCAGAGTAAATCAGATCCCCAGAGATTTTGGAGTAGGAAATGCTATTTATAGTAGTGCTTTTCTGGACAAAATGCTGGAATAGTTAGAGCGGGGTTAGGCTTACAACCTCCGGTAGCCTTACTAATAATAAAGGATCTGCTTCTTTTAAGTCTGGAAACATCCAAGTATCCCCACCTTATTATATTTTTAAAATCTATTTCATCTCCAAAACTAACGTACAGCAGTATTTTTATTTTTAAGGGCTAATAATCCATTTCATAAAAGGCAGGTGGAGTCTGGGGAAAAAATCCCCGATTAAAATCCCGTAATATAAAATCTTAAGAGGTTTAGAGACATTCAACTGTAAAAGGTCACAGAAGATCTGTGCTATTCCTGTAAAGAATTGAATTGACTGCTTCCACGCACCCAGCCTCATATGCACAGTACATGCGATGAGTGCTTTCCCAAAATAACCCAAGAAAGGGATAATAACAAAGGCAACAAAGAAATGAGGTTTCCTGACTTCAGTCTAGAAATGCTCGTTGCCAAAATAATAAATATATGATGGCTTGGTATTTCTGTAGCATCCTTCATCTTGAAGGATCTCAAAGTGCTTTGCAGGCTGAGGAAAACAAAGAGATAATGTTTTTGCTGATGAAATGCAGCCATCTCCAGGTGATGATGCAGCAGGCGTTTGACACTAGAAAAGTACATCCTTACTTTGAAAAAAGAGTTGCCTTCTGCTTTCAGACCTGCTTGAGGCACTGAAGGTTGGAAGAGCACTTGCAAACCAAAGCAGCGTGGTGTCCCTTCTTCACACCTCGCTACCAGCACCAGGAACCCCTCTCTACTGTCTCTGCCAGCAGCTCAGGCCTTGTCTTTGTTTTCTGTAACCAATTGCAACCTTACAAGGTCAGGTAGAAATCAGACTTTTAACAGGTTTCCACCCAGGAAACTCAAACTCTCCAGCGTTCGTCCTTTTCTTTGTGTTTTAAAACTGAGCCACAGTCCCTCCTGTTTTCCTTGGTACAGGTTATATACTGAACAAGGGGAACATTTTTCATTTCCTCTGTTATGTTTATTTTTAGCTTGGTTTTATTTTTAGTGTGCTTTACTTTATGTTAGCATATGCTCGGAAATGCCTTGGCGAGTTAACGGGAAAGGTGCTACAAAATGCAATCTGCATTGTGTTTTTGTTCCCTGTATGAGCACCCTCCTCTACTCCCACATAAGTGGGTTCAATGCACCGAGGGGTGTCTGGTTTGGATTCCTTTTATAAGGAAAGTGGATGTCAGGGAGAGAAAATCAGATGGAGGAATGAGTTGTTTACATATTTTTAATTGCTAAACTTTATTTAGCAAAGAGAAGAGGGCTATTTCCCAAGCAGGTTTTTATTTGGTTTGTTCTCTTTCTTCCAGGCACCAGATTTATGCAGAGTCAATTTGCGAAATGCATCTGTGCTGGTGTGAAAATTGATGGGGACCCTAGGTAGAGATGCTGGTATTTAATTTCCTTCCCTCTGGCCTAGGGTGTCCCGTGGCCAGGAACCACACACAGAGTGGATGGACCCTTGTGTTGGGATCCCAAGGTCATCCCCAACGGACTGAGACACGCTCAGGTCAAGATGTACCTCTATCCCCACTCTGTCCTCCCAGCCAGGCTCCACGTGCATGCGGAGTGCAGCCGTCATTGAGAATCCTCTGTCGTGAGGACAGCACACATTGCCTGGATGTCTGTTCCCTGCTTCTCTCAGGCACATGCAACCTCCTGGGTGCAGCGTGAGGCCCATCAGAGCAGGTTGTGTCTCTACTGCACCATGCACATCCTCTCTCCTTGGCCTGGAGGAAAACACCTCTCAAGAACCAAGCCTAGGGTATCCTGATCACTGCCTTTCCTGGGGCATGGGCTCACCTCAGTCTTTGCCTCTGCCCTTGAGACCTCTGAAGGTGCCTATCCTCTGGCATCAAAGCCTGTTGGCCTCTGGCGCTTCTCTTGTGGGGACTGATAGGTGGTTGTGACCAAGGCTTTACTGTAGGACTTGATCATTGCCTTCACTGTCTAGCTGGAAGGTGACGACGGAAACCCTTGGAGGTGGAGGGACCTTTTTCATGGGCTGCCGCATTCTGTTTGCTCTCTGCAGCCTAGTCAGCGTCTTGAGTTTAATGCTTTGTATATTGGTTTTGTTCTAGGATGCTCAAGGCATCTTCTGCCTTTCCCTGAGACTAGCCAGTCTGGCCTAGGAAAAAATATCTCCCAACACAAAAGTTTTTCACTGATTCGGTCTTGAGTCAAACGCAACAGCTAAACAGCTTAGAAACAGGGTGCTTGGTGTCACCTCATGGAAAGGGCCACGCAGTCTGATAAACTTGTTCCAAGCGTGGCCAGCCCCTGGTACATCAAGGGAAGGTGAATGACACCACAGAGCTGTTGTGTGAGGTGCAAGGCAGGTTTCCTTCCTGACCTTGGCACAGCTCCTGGTGAAACCCTGAAGCTTTGTCTTGGTTCCTTATTCTCTTACCAGTATGGACATTACGTGAGTCACACCAAGCCTTCTGTCCTTCCTGTATCTGGTGAAGAATGCAATAAGCACTGGGAGACCCTGAGGTTTGCCTGCAGAGCCCTCGGCGTACCGCTGCCACCACCCTGCCCCTGTTCTGCCCTGCCTTCCCTAATGGCACACACAGGCACTAGCATTTTTCACAGAAACTGGATTAAACGTGTCCTTCAGAAGGCTCTCTTATCTTGTGTTACAGGCTGCAGGAGGTGATGAGTCCACCATCTCCCCTGCTGAGCTATTCTTGTATCCAGTAACCCTCTCTGCTGAGAAGTTGCCTCTGATTTAAAGATGAAAGTTGTTGCTTTTGCTCCATCCTTGTCAGAAAGGTCTAAACGCCTCCTGCCAGCACACATTTCTTTGCGTGTGTGTCTGTACAGAGTGATCAGATCCTCTCACTATCTCCTCTCTGTCACGATAAATATTTTTTCCTCCTTAAATCTTATAGCAGAAGTCTTCCCATCCAGCTATGGCTTCTGCTTGCAGCTCCCTTGTGAAGTTCCTCTGCTATTTCTATGTGTTTCTTGGTGGTGGCTGTGGATCAGAAGTGAATCCCTCTGGATGCAATAGGAGGTGGTAAAAAGGAGGTACAGTGTGATGCTGTGGGGATCAGATATGGATAAAGGCGTTCTTTGGGATAGCTGAATATGTACCCTTGATGAATATTGGCAGATAAATCCTACCTGCGTGCTGGCCTCACGATGGGCAGGTGGGCCATCTGCCTTCAGGAAGGAGTCAGGACAACTCCTCTCAGGAGCGATGAAGGTACGGTCCGTCCTGCCTCAGGCTGGGAAGCTGA